CATCTTTTTTTTTTTTTTTCGGTACGTGGGCCTCTCACTGTTGTGGCCTCTCCCGTTGCGGAGCACAGGCTCTGGACACGCAGGCTCTGTGGCCATGGCTCACGGGCCTAGCCGCTCTGCAGCCTGTGGGATCTTCCCAGACCGGGACACAAACCCGTGTCCCCTGCATCGGCAGGCGGACTTTCAACCACTGCGCCACCAGGGAAGCCCTAAACTTTTTTGCTTCATGTAAAATGTGTTTATAAAAAAATACTCAAAAGTTATATGTTTTGTCTTAAAAAATAAAAAATAAAAATATAGTCTTAAGGAAAAGGAAAAGCAATAGTTATAAGTTTATATTGACTTACTTTATAGGTAGTCCTCCAGAAATAGGTTTTCCCTCCCTCCCTCTCTATATATTGGCTCCCTATGCCCACTATCTTCATCATTCCGTTGTCACCTCAGCACATAAAGACCTTTCCAGCTTGGTTACCAATAGTTTCTTGGTATCGCAATTCCAAATTCAAGAAGAAACAATGTGAATGGTTTAGCCTGCATCAGATATTCAGCTCTGATTCAAATACCTGGTGCTACTTTGGCTGGAGAAGGTATGTGGGATGACAGCATATTAGGATCATCTGCTCCTTAGTCCAACCCCTTACCCACTGCCCACACTGGTCCTTAGAATGATGTGCCTACAACGCTGGCAGGTTTTTAAAGAAAAGGTTGTGGGCAAGGAGGTCAGGTAGCCGTCTTAACTGTTCAAACTGAAAAGGAAAGGCGAACTTTTCTGGTTTTAATTTCCCAATATTTCCTTAATTTAGAATTGAATTAATGTTGGGACTTCCCTGACAGTCCAGTGGTTAAGACTCCGTACTTCCACTGCAGGGGGTGCGGGTTCGACCCCTGGTCAGGGAACTAAGATCCCGCATGCTGTGTGGTGTAGCCAAAAAAAAAAATATAGATAGATAGAGAGAGAGAGAGAGAGAGCGAGAGAGAGAGAGAGAGAACTGAATTACTGTAGAAGTGAACACTCATGGACAAATGAGGCTAATTCTCTGTTATAAAGTTAATTCTTAAATTACACTTAACATATATCATTCTTATAATAAAAAAAAAAATCCTGCACAGGACATTAAATGCAAAAAAACCCCAAAAACAGACAAAAAAAAAGCTTTTTTTTTAAAGTTACTAAATCTTTCAGTGCTTCAGTTTCTTCACCTTAATATAGGGATAATAATAAAACGGCTGTAAAGGCGAAGTGAGAAATATGTATAAAGCATTTGGAGTTCTGTGAATATTAGCAAATACTGCTCTAAATTTTTTCCCACATGACATGTCTTTTGAGCCTACAATTTCAATACTTATTTTTCCATAGCTGTGAAATTTACAAACTATATGCTATCACTAAAATCCCTCTACTAACCTACACAGAATTATATTGTCATCTTTTAATTTTTAACTTTTTCAGCTTAATAAGATACAATGTGTTAAAACTGTTACACTCCCTGAACACACACAGTTTCAGACTGTAAGGATACTTACTGTTCTGCACCTAGAATTGCAGATACAGAGACAAAGAAGATGGGAGCTCTCAGTCTAGTGCTATTTTGTTTACAGCTAAACTGCACTGAGGAAGAAGCACTCTACTGGGGGAAGTCTAGGAAAGTATGTGAAACCCACTGGATAAAATTTTAAGGAGAAATAAAAAAGGTCAATGGCTAAATATGCATAAACATGATAGAGGATAGATCTGGAGAATTGTGGTAGTATGACAGAACATCACAGGTTGGGAAAAAAATGGTGGAATATTATGAAGATGATTCTTTTTTTTTTTTTTTTTTTTTTTTGCGGTATGCGGGCCTCTCACTGTTGTGGCCTCTCCCGTTGCGGAGCACAGGCTCCGGACGGCCATGGCTCACGGGCCTAGCCGCTCCGCGGCATGTGGGATCTTCCCGGACCGGGGCACGAACCCGTATCCCCTGCATCGGCAGGCGGACTCTCAACCACTGCACCACCAGGGAAGCCCCCATGAAGATGATTCTTAAAAACAGAGGTTGGAACCAGATTGAGAAGGGCTTTGTTAAAAAAAAAAAAAAGAAAAGAAAAAGCTAAAAAATTTGAAATATATATGGTAGGCAATGGGAAGCCATCAGAGATTTTTATAGAGCAATATTTGGAAGGAGGGATTGCAGACACAGGCAGGAAGCATTACAATCAATCAATCAGTAAGAGTTATAAATTTTCTAACTAAATCTAGTTTTTGACCCCAGTTCAAACATTTTACTAGTTGTGTGAGAACAAATTACAGAACCCCTCTTAGCCTCAGTTTTCTTATGTGAAAATTCCAGTACATATCTCAGTGTTATTTGTGAAGATTAATGAGATAATGTATGTAAATACTGCACAATGCTTAGTTACTCAATATAAGAGGAGATATATCTATCATTTACTATGTGTCACACATTATTCTAAGATTTTAATACGTACTGATTCATTTGATTCTCCCAACAGCCCTACAAGATAGGTATTGTTATTATCTCCACTATAGTTGAGGGAATCGGAAGCACTGAAAGGTTAAGCAGCTTCTTTAGGGTCAGGCAACTACCAAGTCGTGGAGATGAAATTCAAATGCAAGCAATCTGGGTCCAGTTTCATGCCCTTAACCAACGTATTACAATGCCTCTCTAGGAAAGATCAAGTCAGTGTTTTAAAAATTCTGGTCAAGTTTTCTAACCTTCAAGTTAAATTTACAGAACCCCATCCTCCAGACCTATGGGATCAGAATCTCTGAGATCGGAAATACAGGAATCAGCACTTGACAAACCCTTCAAGGTAATGTGTGCACAATAAAAGTTGAAACTCACTGACTTAGATAGATAGAGCAAAAATCCAAAGAAAAGAGTCCAGGTAAGGAAAAGGAACAGATTAAAATGTAGAGACTAACTTTTTTTGGAAATTACCGTTTGCTGGTAGCTTATATGAAGTAAACAGAAACTTAAGGTTTGAATAAGCAAAGCTTAACAAAGTATAGCTTATATCTTTACTGCAGTCCTACACAAAATGTTTAAATTTTAACGATAACTACTGAATATTTAAATTTATTTTTCCTGGCTAATAACGAAACAAAAGTTCATTACCAGGGATGGGAGAGTAGGAGTAGCCAGCATGGATGAAGGAACGTTTATTCTAAATATTATTAAGTCCTACTTTTTAAAAGAAATTTATACATTTATACGGTAAGATACCCTGGTGTTAAAATCTTAAAAGAAGCATAAAATATCTGATCCTATAAAGCAACAAAATTACTCTGACAGTTTTCAATAAGGCAAGATATAAAATTTCTACACACTTAAATGCTCACTTATAGTTTACAGGTAGGGTACACATTTAAACTATTCCAGAAAGCATGACTTGTTAGAAGGTTAGAGTTTGATATCTGAGGTAGTTACTCATTAAAAACAAATAAAACAAAAAACCGAAACAGAGAAAACCCGATGCTGGAAACATTAGTAGAGTACTTTCAAAATGACTCCCCAATAACCAGTTGGACAATGAATGAAGGGGGTGAAAACGCAGGTTTGTGGAACTAAACCTCATCCCTATTGTTAGCAAACTAAGACCCCTGTTAATCACCGCTGTTACAATATGTCCAGTTTAAATGAGCAAGAGTCTCGGATTTTTGCGTTAACTTAAAAATGTCAACCGTGAAAGAAAAATATCCGGGTTTTGAACACAAAGGATACTCAGATTTCAGTTTAAATCCCCACCAGGCATTTCAAAGACTGTCAATTCCCTGCGGTCCACAGTAATAAAGACTACTCCTCTTAAGAGGAACTCGGATCCCCACAGAGCATCTCTTCATTCTAAACCTGCCCCCAACCTTCCATCTTTAATAAAGAAAGATTCTTTTGCTTACGATAAAGCTTTCGCAATAACTACTTTTGAAGCTTCAGCGTTCGAAACGAATTAGCGGAAATACTGAACTGCGATTACCAGAAAGTCAGAGATTAAACAAGGTTTAATCTCGGGGGCGGTCTGGCTTCTGAATCCTCAGTACTCTATAGGGTTGGCATGTGTGCGCCAACCGTCTGCCCCGACTTCCCGAAGTCCCCACGTCCAGCCCCACCACCCGACACCCCCAAAGGCACTCCGAGGCCCCCGCTATACTGTCCCGCCTTCCGACCCCCTGTGCCATCCGACAGTTCCGCTTCTCCCCCTGGAATACTCAGTTCCTTCCCGTCCGCCATCCACTCACCGAGGCGCGCTGGGCAGAAGTTCCAGAGCGGCAGAGTCACTTTTCCCTTCTCGCGCTGCGCCACACGCCATCCGGGATCTGCCCCATCCAACGGCCCACACAATTCAAATTCGTCCACTTCCGCCTGCAACCCGGAAGGAGGGATCAGCTCCGCCCCCTGAAAGGCGGGGCCCGCGGCGACGTGGGAGTTGGGGAAGGGTGAGGCGCCCCCGCGCTTTTATTCTGCGGGGTCCCCTCTCTGCTCCTTTTCCGTTCAGTTTCTTTTGTCTCTCTCCCTACTTAGGTCCAGAGAGAAGTGCGGGAGCGGGGTTGGTGTTGCTGCCGGGTGGCTCGTGAGAGGATCTTCTTGTTTCTTAAATGGATCGAGACATGCTGAATTTTCTTCACTTCCAGGAAAGGAGAGAATAAAAGCACTAGCCGAGCCCGGACGTTTTTACCCCTCTGCCGTCGCCTAAACACGAGCTACAGCCGGAAGGAAGAAACGAACCCTCCGCATACTTAGTACAGGGTTTCTTTGGGTCTCCTGAGACCTGTCGCGGCACAGTCAGGACTTTTAACCTCTTTCCTTCCCCTGTTTGAGGGAGACAAAAAGCCAAGTGCGCCAATCACCTTATTCCAGCAACAGATTGAAAATGGAGTGATCGGAAAAGTTCCTGGTCCCAAATAACATTTTTGAGGATAAGTGTTAGAAAGCGACAATATTTTTTCCCCCTCTGACAGACCATTTTACAAGATTATTATGTGATTGTCCTATGAGATTCTTGGGACAACAGTTGTCATTTTCCTTTGCCAAGGACTACACAATGTATCCTTGATCCGAAAAGTCTACAGAAAGGAAAGGAAGGACAACATGTTGTTAGGCAAAAACAAACAAACAAACAAAAACTCTCTAACCCTGATCTTGACGTTACCACCAGATCATCCTCACATCTAAAAGCGTTGATTGACCTAAACTGGTCAGTTCAAACCAAGCCATAACAGAACATCTTCAGACTCTATCAAACTGAAATTTGATAGATTCACTAGATTTCTGGGAATTTATTTTATAGATAATCTGACATAAGGGTGTGTAAAGCTATTAAGTGATGTACTGTTTTTAACAGTGGAAAGTAGAAAATAACCTACGTGTTTACCAATAAGGAAATGATTAAATACTGTAAGTTATGATAATTTACTAGCTGATATACTGACACTGTGCAGGCACTAAAAATAATGATGTAGATCAGTAGGTACTCAATTGAAAATCAGCTTCAGAAAGACTATATATATATATATATATATATATATATATATATATAGCATCCTTTTAAAGTATGTGTATGTGTATGGCATACAAAATTTGGATACATAAACTGTAAAATGTTACCTGTGGGAGTCAGATTGGTGAATGGGGATAGGAAGAAACTTTTGCTTTATAACCAGCTGAATTTTTTAAATAAGCATGTTTTACTCTTGCAATTTTAATTGCTTTTAAAAGAAGATTGCTAGAAATTGAGTATATTCTAGATGAAGAATCAGGTTTAATAAATGTGGAAATGTATAATGTTTGAATAATCTGTGTCCATTCATTCATTCATCAATTCATTCAGCAGTTATATAGTAATGGTTTGACCACACATTTTTGTCATTCATAATATGCTGTATTATTTAATGTCCCACATTTTTAATACTGCACCATTAAATATATTGCTGTTTCAAGTTCCTTGAAGGCAGAAACTATGTCATATATTTTCCTATATTTTTCATAATTCTTGGCACCTTCCCACCATTAAGTTCCATCCTTCACAGGAATTAAATTCTCAAGTTAATCTGCAAGCAAAAGTTAAATGTGGGCTTCCCTGGTGGCACAGTGGTTGAGAGTCCGCCTGCCGATGCAGGGGACACGGGTTCGTGCCCTGGTCCAGGAGGATCCCACATGCCGCGAAGCGGCTGGGCCCATGAGCCATGGCCGCTGAGCCTGCGCTTCCGGAGCCTGTGCTCCGCAACGGGAGAGGCCACAACAGTGAGAGGCCCGCGTACCGCAAAAAAAAAAAAAAAAAAAGTTAAATGTGCTCAGGGAATTCCCTGGTGGTCCAGTAGGTAAGACTGGGAGCTTTCACTGCCATGGCCAGGGTTCAATCCCTGGTCGGGGAAATAACATCCTGCAAGCTGCACAGTACAGCCAAAAAAAAAAAAGTTAAATGTACTCAAATTGCCCTTGAAAGACTCCCCAAACGATCATAAAAATATGTATAGTATATATAGATAGAATAGCTAGATACATGATTTTTTTTAAATTTTTATTTATTTTTGGCTGTGTTGGGTCTTTGTTGCTGTGCACGGGCTTTCCTCTGGTTGCGGCAAGCGGGGGCTTCTCTTGTTGCGGAGCACAGGCTCTAGGTGTGGTGGCTTCAGTAGTTGTGGCACGTGGGCTCAGTAGTTGTGGCTTGTGGGCTCTAGAGCACATGCTCAGTAATTGTGGCGCACGGGCTTCATTGCTCCACGGCATGTGGGATCTTCCCGGCCCAGGGCTCGAACCCATGTGCCCTGCCTTGGCAGGCGAATTCTTAACCACTGTGCCACCAGGGAAGCCCTAGATATATGATTTTTAAGATATGACTATATAAGCAGGTTTTGTTTCGTTTTTGTTTGTTTGTTTGTCCTCTGAGTTTTTTTTTTTTTTAGTCAGTCCTTCTTTAGGACCCTTAATGAATTCTTTAGTTTCTTCGACCAAAATGTTGACAAAGTTATCATCACCCAGCAGCCCTGCCATCAGTCAGTCTAATGAGATTAATTTCTCCTCAGCAATAGAGAGCACCTTAAAGTCATTGACATATTTTTCTCGTAGGACTGGTCAGGCTTAATGTATAAATTGCCTAGGGCTAGTGTTTATTAAATGGAATATCAAGTTATTTGCATATTTAAACTGTTATTCCCTTTTTTACCGAGAGTGAGTGCAGGTGAATTTGAAGACAATCAGTATTCAAGTAATGTTACAGTATTTCATGAACAAAGAAGATCTGCAATAAATACCCACTGACTATTTCAAGGAGCCTGAGTAAATCCAGACTTAAGAACTTTTAAGATCTTAAGATCCCACATGCTGCGGAGCGGCTGGGCCCGTGAGCCATGGCCGCTGAGCCTGCGCGTCCGGAAAAAATAAATAAATAAATAAATAAATAAAATAAAAGGGAGCATTCAAAAAGTCTAATTAGCAGCCTAGTCAGGTTCTCATGATACCTGACCTAGAAATGGAGCGTGGGTGTGTGTTGGGAGGGGGGAGGGGGCCAGGGAGGGAGCTGTTGGTAGATGTTGAGGAAGTGAGCAAACATGTAAAAACACTTTTATGTTTCCCACTTTTGCTTTCACACATCTTTCTTCAATATCTTTTACTATATCATTATAGACAAGTCTAATGTCAATATACTGCCTTACAAAAAAGTACTTCTTTTGGAGGCTATGCAAGGGGAGCAACAAATAGCTTCCCTACTCCGTCCTACTCCTGTCCCTTACATGCCAGTTTTTCTCTGTTCCACTTACTAGTCTACCATGTGCAATGGTGCTAAAACAACTAAAGGACAGGGGTAAAAACAATAGGTAGGCAAGGTGATTGTTTCTCCTTTCAGTAACTCTAGAATAGAGTCCATCTAGTCTCTCCTCAGCAATTCTTTAAACCATCACTGCCCAATACGAGTGTTAGCCACATATATAGTTTGCAACTTTCTACTAGTCATATTTAAAAAAATGGAATGAAATAGGTGAAGTTAATTGAAGTAATGTATTTTATTTAACCCAATATGTCTATAATGTTATCATTTTTTTTTTTTTTTTTTTTTTTTTGCGATATGTGGGCCTCTCACTGTCGTGGCCTTTCCCGTTGCCGGATGCGCAAGCTCAGCGCCCATGGCTCACGGGCCCAGCCGCTCCGCGGCATGTGGGATCCTCCCGGACCGGGGCACGAACCCGTATCCCCTGCATCGGCAGGCGGACTCTCAACCACTGCGCCACCAGGGAGGCCCTATAATGTTATCATTTTAACATGCAATCAGTCAAATAGATTATTGAGACACTTTACATTTTTTTGTACTAAGTCTTGAAATCGGTATATAGTTTACATTTACAGCCCATCTCAATTTGTACTAGCCACATTTCAAGTGTTCATTAGCCACACATGGGTCATGGCTACCATACTGGTCAGCACAGTTTAAAATATGTCACAATTTTTCCCTTCTAAGAATACAGGCTACCATGGGACTTTGTTCCCAAAATTCTATTTCACCAACTTCTAACAAACATTTGAAAGCATGAAATAGAAGTAATTATCTTTCCCCCAACTTTAATTATTCCTACTCTACCATGATCTTGTCACTGCTTCCATATTTACCTAAGATTTGTTTTGTCACTTCCTCCTCTAATGAATTTTTTTCTTACCCTCTCTATTCTCACTCTCCTTGTCTATTCCTTAAGCTTTCTTCTCTATTTCTCAGCAAAGTATTTGAATACTTTGGAATATATTTAACATCTATAATTATGGCATTAATGCTACAGAGTTTTCATCCCACGGTTGCAAAACTAATTAGTCGATTTAACTGATCACCTCGTGAACAGGTCATAATGAGAATACTGTACAAAATAAGCATATGACCATTATTAGTGTATGGCTCCATGATCAAGAAGTATTTGTCAAGCATATTCTATGCTATCAGCAGTGTTAATAAATTTCTGAATGGAGTTTTCACAGTGTATACTAAAATGTTCCTTATATTAGTTTGCCTGACCAGTATTTTTGCATCAATTTTGAACTTGAATCAAAATAGACTTTAGGGGGCTTCCCTGGTGGCGCAGTGGTTGAGGATCCGCCTGCCAATGCAGGGGACGCGGATTCGTGCCCCAGGCTGGGAGGATCCCGCATGTCGTGGAGCGGCTGGGCCTGTGAGCCATGGCCGCTGGCCTTGCGCGTCCGGAGCCTGTGCTCCGCTACGGGAGAGGCCACAGCAGTGAGAGGCCTGCGTACCGCAAAAAAAAAAAAAAAAAAAGATTTTAGGAAACGTGGGTTGTTGTTTGCTACCAAACAGAATTCTTTTTCTCAATG